ACACACACACACACACACACACACACACACACACACACACACACACAGTTGGACTGTAATTCATCTCAGAGGGAAAACACTGGCTTTTCTCCCAAAGCTCTGATGATTAAATTCCTTTTCAAAGTCATGGTCCACTTTTATCTCTTTTATCTGATGCGTTTCCACATCTGTGTTCTCTTAGGAAGAACCTCCTAATCACATCACAGTCAACACACGGGTGATCCCACCATCTCATTCTTTCCTACTTTTCCCTCCCTGCACTCATGAGCCCAAATTGATCTCTGAGTAACTCAAATAAAAAAAGAGGTGTGCCTTTTGCCAATAACATGACTTATGCTTCAATAAATCACTGCCAAGACAACAAAGTCAACATAATTTAACTCAASAGAGTTAAAAAAGACAAAAGAAGAACAAAGCACTTAAGAAAAGAAGCAAGTGACTCACCTGTAGGCGTCTATGAGAGTCAGAGCGCCGGCTAATTCGCCGGGAATTCACCGTTGAGGGGTAAGAGAGGCTTCGCGGGAGGCCAGCGTGCTCTGACGGGTGTTGCGGCTGACCTCGAGGTTTGAAGCTCTTGGAAGACGCCTGGAAGCTGCTGCCGCGGTCGCCTGTGGGCTGTTTCCTCTGGCTGGAGTGAGACGACGCATTGATGATGGGCGTCTTTGCCAGGACTTGAGGGACTCCGTAACGGGCAGGCCGGTTGGATGAGTCAGTGGTCTTGTCTTTGGCCCCGCTCCCTGCCTGATGGTGATATTCTGCTGAGTCACTCCCACTTCGACGCCTTCCTTTTAGCAGTTTGGCAGCAGCGGAGTTTGGCTGAAAGAAGCCCCCACCCCACCCKAAAAAAATAAATAAATCAAAAGTGAAATGAACACAAGCTGAGTGTCAAAGCATTTATAAGAATAAATTAATAAAAATTAGAAAATAAAAATTCACTCCTTCCTTCTACAATAGCCTGTCAACCTCTGCTCCTGCTGATTAGCAAAACTGTGTCTAAACACACCCACTTATCACTACTCGGCTCACCCCTACAACTTGTTGGAAGGATTGGCGAGGAAGGCAGGCAGGAGGATAAGCACCAGCCAATAAGCCAAGAAGAGCTGACTGACGCTGAGAAAGACGCTGCACAGACGGGCAGGCAGACAGACAGGAATGGCAGGGTTAATGCTTTCACTCGGCACAGTGATGTGCTGTTATGTCACCCAAGCAGAGAAAGCATTACTGTGTCTTTACGCCTGGCTGCACGACACGAGAAGAGACAAGCTCAGAGGAGGGGGGGGGGAGTGGGAGTAAAAAGAATAGACTGCCACAGATTTTATTAAAAAAAGCATCACTAAAGAAGACGAGAKGACAAAAGCAGGTGTAAGACAAGGGGAAGTCTAATGAGAAAACATAAGTTAGAGAAGCTGAATGTGGCACTGCAATGACCTCCTGTTGTAAGAACACATTCAGCTCTCCCCGGCATGGATGATGTTAATTCCTGGAGGCAGAAAGTCGAGAGGAAAACAAATGACAGCCAGCTAGCTAAGCAAGCCCAGCAAACCTGAGTAAGCCACATAGTCACACACTAATGAGCAGCTGCAGACACAGCACAGCTTCACAGATGAGCTTTCTGCCTCAGCGCTTTGCAGCACAACAGTGACCTTTACTGAATAATCAAAGATTTAAATCAAAATCAAGCTAGTRCAGGCGGAGACGTCCAGCTGAAACATTTCACTGCATCTGGCTAAGCTGTCTGACAAAAATTCAAGAAATTCAAAGTAGGAGGACTCACCTCTACGAACTGCTGAGGACAAAGTCCAACTTTCTCCCCAAGTTTGGCTTCAATCCAGTCCTCATCGACTCGTCTGATGACAGTGAGGATGTCCCCCTGTAAAGCAGAAAAGGGAAACAGCAATAAAAGCGGGGCATCAGATGGGTGCACCAGAGATATTTCGCTCTGGAGACTGAGCACTCAGACCAGAAACTCTCAGAGTCCTGCGGTTCTGCTGGAACATGTGACATCAGATCCATTTGTGTCTGCGGGCCCAGTGCTTTCTATGGCCAGCCTTAAAAAAAAGAAAAAAAAACTACGTTTGACCACCTGCATTAAAAAGAAAGCTGAAGTGCGCTTTAATGGAGAGCAGACAAGAAGTGAGGCCCTTTATGTAACAACCACAGAGATCCTTCAGGGTGGAAAAAGCAGTCGCAGCAGCAGAGGTTGAGAACCTCAGCTCTTCAAGTTTTTGCTCCCTGAAAAAACAGCACTGGCGAACAAAAAGCAATGGCCATTATGTAATCAGTTAAAAGGGAATTTCCTGTTTTGTACATAATTACACAATGTCACAAAGTCAAAGAAGCAAAGGCTGAATAAGATGTCAGCCATCCAAGTTTGGCCATGATAAGGACATGGTGTGAAAGTACATTTATATGAGCATTTACATACATATACACACACAGTATAGAGAATGTTAATTCATGAGTTATTAAGCATGAATTAAAAAGAGTATTTTGATTTTGAAAGTAATTCGCCTTTATGGGAAAAGTATTAATAAATGTGTTAATTTATAGATTATTAAGTGTGAATCATCATGAGCTCTGTGTCTGTCCCTGCAGCTGATATATTTCAACGAGGAGGAGCTGCGGATCTACTCCTAGCTCCCATCGGATGAAGGAGTTCCTCTATCTCGTCTCTAATGCCGAGCCCGGCCCCCTTACAGAGGAACCCACAGTTGAGCTGCTAATATCTGGAATCTTGCTCTCTTATTACCTCCGCCAAGGGCGAGGTAATATTTTCGGTCGTGTCTGTCAGTCTGTCTGTCGTTCTGTCTGTAGACAACATTACTCAAAAACTTGAGGATGGACTGTCATGACATTTTTACCACATGTGGGTACTGGGCCAAGGAACACACCTTTAAATTTTGGTGATGTTCCGGATCACGACGCGGATACAGCAATTTTTTAAACCCTCTGAGATCGGCAAAYCTGTGATGCTTTCTCAGGGTTTCTGTGAAAAACAGTGCGACAGCACGGACTTCAAACTTTATAAAAGTAATGTTAAAACCAGATTTAATGATGGGTAATTTTTGCCATAATATGCACATTTACAGAACGTTTTGTGACCAGGAAGTGCGTGACTGCAGCATGAAACCTAATTTTCCCATTTCCTCAAACACACCACATTTCCGAAACAACCAATCAAAACAGTTTCTCGCCACTAGGCTTGTAAACAGAGAGCTGCCGGGCCTCAAAGTTTGGAGACGTGGGGAGCCAGGAAGCACTTTATAAAGAGAGTCAAACCATTACAAACTCATACAAGGGGATAAAACAGACGTTTCACATGGTGAAATGTGACTGATGAAAACTTAGGAGCTTAATCCGACACCAGTTTGATGATGAATAACGTCGGGTGACGAGTCTGACTTTTTTTTATTTTTTCACATTGGACTCCACCGAGAAGAAATCCCGTGCATACTGCCTGATTAAATGTTCAATACGTCAGAACTTATTTGGCAAATGTGTTTCCATCTCTGCTTTTGCACATTAACTCTTACAGGATGGGGGAAATTAGTCTTGGCGGAGGTTTGAGGGCTGGAACGTGGACGGAGCAGTAAATAGAGAGCTTTGCCTTTCAGCTCAACTCCTGTTTTACCACAACAAACCAAAGCAATGCCCTCAATCTCAATACTACAGACAAGGCCCCAATTTGTCAATTCATCTCTGTTTATTYTGCAATGTTGTTTTTTAATAATGCAACTTAAAGTTTGACACATTTACAATGAGTTTCAAGAGATTCAGCACTAATGTTTGAATTGAAGCTACTGTAAAAATGTGAGGAAACAAAAGGCAAAGTATAGTTTTAGAGTGACAAATGAAGTTTTTTTTTTTAACGTACTACGTCTAGGAAAGGTCAGGTACAGTAAAAAAATAAAAAAAAGCTTCGTTAAAGCAGACTCTCCACATGTGTCCCAGTGACCAACAGCCTGGAACTTTTCTCAGCAGATGTTTAAAGCAGCTGAAGGCTCAATGACAATTTTCTCAGTGTGCAGTCTAATTAAYGGAACCTCAATTAGAGGGCACGATGAGTTCAACTCGAGGTCGGGCAGACTTAAAGAAAACTTTTAGAGACAATTACTTGTAGGATTGCTGGAAGAGAAAATCCAACTCTCATTGGACTTTAAAAGGTTTGTAAAAAGACTGTGAAGTCAGACTCGTGACACAAAAGGACTGATGATGGAAGAGATAGAAGCCATCAAGCTGCACTGAACACTCCTAACACTGGTTAAAACACAGGGGTGGAATAATCATCCTGCGGGCATGTGTTGAACTCAATAATACAGAGAACATTTCAGCATCGGGGAAAATAAAAAGATGCCAAAGATGAAAAACTACTTTTCCTCCCATTGGTTCTAAATACACAATATTAAAATCCATCATGAAACAACATAAGAAATGTAATCTGAAGGTTTTTCCCAGAAAGGTTAAATTCAAACTCCTCCATCTGAGGCTTGATCTAATGCACACAGTGTGTAATGCAGGGTGGAGYAAAAAAATCCCCCATAGAGTAGGTGTATACAGAAGATTAACAAGCTACAAGAAAGACAAGTTCTCACTCAACAGTTTGCCAAAACCCTGGGATTTAAAGGAGACATATCATGAAAAATCCACTTTGTAGTCTGTTAAGTACATTTTGTTGTGTACTTGAAGTCTCTAGGAGTGCAGAAATTTTTATTTAGTCTCTCAAGGTGCAGCGTAGATATCTTTATTTTCTGTTTGGGTCACATTTTTCAATCTATTCCYTTTTCTCTGTTTTATATGACAATTTCTATTATGTCACAGTTTTTATGACAGATCTGCCATATAAGTTCTGAACTTACTAACTACAATTTGGTCGTCTTCATTCTCCTCTGGCTCTGGGTCAGACTCTGGCTCCAACATGTAAGGTTGGATGGACAAGTGTTCCTTTGTTGACATCTTTTAATTTATTTGTAAATAAAATTTTCTGTGCTGCTATATAGTCGTAAACCCCTCTATCAAACTAGAATGGACCGCCCTGCAAGCTGCAGGGCGGGTGGGGGTGGGGG